CGTGAACAGAGGCTGCTCCAGCAGCAACCTTTGTTTGTGGCAGCCAGGCTCCTGCTGCATTTTAAAGGCTGAAGCGCCGCAGTGGGAACCCAGGACGAGTGGGAACTGCTTTAGTCGTCGCTCATGCCATTTTCCCGCTGTGCCTCTGCCTCCCTTGCCCCTACAGAGATGGTGCTGGGGAGAACCATCTTTTAAGTTGGCTCCCTCCAGCACTGGCTTCTGCTTCCCCTTCCCCCCTTGCTGCCTCTCTCTGATACAGGCAGAAGCAACTAGTCGAGTCGCTACTCAACTATCCAATAAGTTTATGTTTATCAGATAGTCAACTAGTCACTTTAATCCCTACCTGCACAGTGTAGCCAAGTCTAAGTTAGTCCTGGTGACCTCTTTAAAATGGGGTCCCAACCAACAGTTTGAGAACCACTGAATTAGTTGTTAGGGTATTTGCTGACCCAGGATCTGGGAAGCTCTCAGCTCAGGTTCCTTCTATTCCTGACAGGGATAAGAGATTTGAACAGGACTCTGCCACCTGTTAGGTGAATGCTGCAAACACCAGGCTATAGAGTCATTCTTACTATTTCCCTAGCCCATTAATGTTTAAGTATATGCTGGCAACTCTTTCCAAAAAAGGGTGCTCAGCACACACTCCACTGACTAGTATAGGCAGCTCCTTGGGGATTACATTCTGATGTGTGTATTTCTCCACATTCATTGTAAAAAAGCTTAGGCACCCAACTCAGATTTTGTGAAACTGACCAGCAGCAGCTGAATCAGGACGGCTGGGGCAGAGCAGCTGGGGTGCTGCTGGGTTGGTACAGTAGCGCCGAGGAGCGGTGCTACTGGAGCAACCCAGCAGCACCCCAGCTACTCTGCCCCAGACGTCCCCAAGTCAGCCGTTGCTGAAACTGACCAGCGCTGACTACAGGAAGCCCGAGGCACAGTTGCTCTGCCCCGGGCTTCCTGGAATCAGCTGCTGATCAGTTTCAGCAGCAGCTGAATCTGGACGCCAGTTCCGACTTACATACAGATTCAACTTAAGAACAAACCTACAGTCCCTATCTTGTACGTAACCTGGGGACTGCCTGTATTCAGAATTTATTAGATGCATCATTACTGATACACAAGGCTCTCCGAACTGTGGCGAGCCTAGCTCGCCAGCTGTGCTGTCCGGCAATCTGCGCATGCACAGATCGCCCGAGCCCAGCTCTTCCGGGTTGCAATCTACTCACCACGGGTGAGTAGATTGTATTATTTGTCGAGCCCTACTGATACATCTCCCTCTCTGTCTCTATAGAAAGAAATACATTGTCTCTTCAGACAATGAATCCTTTTCCTTGTATCGCACTGTCTCTCTTCAAAAGCAGGTCACATTCATTAATATTATTGTAAACAAATAGAAATTGCAGGAATTCCTATGCATTTGCATCCAATTATGCTATTGTTAGATCATCAACCCCTGTGCATGTGCTGCTTAATCCCAGTGTAATCCTGAAATTCTAGGGCATGAGTAATGCTCCAATTGACATTAACGGGAGTTTCAGATATGGACTGACTACAATAATCAGTCAGTTGGAAACATGTACATTTTCCCCGGCTTGAGAATGAGTCCAGGATTCCATCATCAGGATTTAGAAACACACAGGCTCATGGAATGATCATCTTCCACAGAAACATCATATGCAAATTTACAGAATTTACTACTATAATAGTTTTAAAAAGGAATAATAATGAACATAAGCTTCTTTTAAAAAGAAACAAAATGCTGTTGGGAGAATATCCATTGTCTGAAAATTTGTTTCCTTCACCGAAAATGAAGGTTGATTTAATTAGGAAAATAAATTCATGCTTTAGACTGTATTACAGATAAGTTTCAATAAAAGGCAGCTTCAGCACCAAGATGTGCAATAGCTTTTAAAATCTGTGGAAATACATTACTAATTTAATTTCACTTCAGAAAGTATATTGTTAAAGGGAAAAAAAATCGGAATAATTTTTAAACGCTGCACCAGTTTTCTTAAAAAAACACTCAAATCTATGCCAGAGTTCTTTATTTTTTGTTCTTTGGCGGCCACTGAAAGTGACCATGCCACACAAGTAGCATATTGCACGAATATTACAATCTTCAAGTTTTATTTACCCCCAGTTCTGAATGCATGCACTTTCAAGTTTCAACTTTTCAGAAGCTGCCACGCCATATTCCATGCAGTTTCCTAGCAAGATCA